GGTGTACCCTGCGCGTCAAAATCGGACGTAGAGGGAACCTTGGAAAAGTGTCAATATGTGACGACATGGGAGTGAGAATGGGTTGTATACACACATAAGAATAGTAAATACAAAGCTGTACCTATCAGGATCACCATGGCCCAGATGACTGAGAACCATCACCAGCCTTTTTGTAACTTTATTTTGTCTCTCCCAACAACAAGATGTCCCCGCTTTTATTGTAAATCTGCTTCTCCTCATGCAAATACCCCTTTCCTCCCAACCGCCTMTTCTCCATTTCCCCTCTGATTTTTTTTAATTAAGATCCAGACATAGATATAGGTGATCTTAAAAGGAGCACACTAAAGTGGGTTGGGTTTTGTCGTGCTACAGACATATGGGTGTCTGGAGGGCTTGATGAGAATTGAGTGGCCATGACCCTGCAGCACTCTCACCTCACTGGGGTATCACACATCTAGGCCAAAACCCCCTCTTCCTAATTATAGTGCWTTCTGAGTCTGAGCAGAGGTGGAGGTGTCCTTGATTAAAAAAGCATTGAACTGAAAGATTGAAACTGTGTATACAGTATGTGCATGTGTGAGTGTTGAATGTTGATGGTCATTATTTSATAGTAAAGAGGCAGTAGAGTGTGCTTGTGTGAATAATAAGACATGTTTGTTTCTCTGTCAAATTACAATACTAGGAAACTTAGTCATTGTGTAAATTAATGACTAGTTTTGTTTAAAAAAAACTGTCTGTTTTTCTCTTTTCTCTTTGTCTTACAAACTGTAGMTCACTAAGTCCAGATGCAGACCCTGACGTTTCATTCCAGAGGGAGGGCTTTGGTCGACAGAGTATGTCCGAAAAGCGTATCAAGCAGTACGACAATGCTTCTCAACTGGAGATCATCAAGAACCGCAAGTCCAAGAGCATGGATCTAGGTAAAACMTCTGCATTCTCAAATGGACTGAACTAGTAATGTGCCTATTACATTTGCATTTAGTGAACTTCACTAGTTCCATCCAGTCAAGAACTGCAGAATAGTGATGCAACAATAAATGTATATGAACTGCATGCAATCAAACCAAAAATACAATAGTCAAAAATGATCTCTTCTCTCATTTAGAAGAGGACACACATTATTATCTCAAGCACTCTACACCAAAGCAAAGCAAGAATGGCTAGTTCAAGTAAAACACAGTATCTATAAAATCAGCTTGTTTGTTTCAAATCAGCTYTGTGGAAATGTTTTCCTGGTGATCTGCAACAGCAATGGAGAAAGGTGACTGTATGGAAACCCAAAATGGTACAATTTGCATGCTTTGAAATGCTGTTTGGCATCTCGTTTACTGTTAAATACACCACCTGGTATTTAATAGGCATCACCCGTGTTTCAACAGAACTCTAGCACTCACCTATCTGAGAAGCTAGGTGTGAATGTTTAATGTTTTATTGATTTTGTGCTTTCACACTGGCAGGTGTTATTCAGTTTATTTTGGCGTTAGCTTTAGGCCAAATAATTTGAAAAAATAAAAAATAAAAAACAGAAAAACACAAACCTGTGTGTGTGTTCTTCTCCGTAACTAAAAAGAGATAACTTCCAGTTTAAGAGTTTATCAAACTTTTTTGTTTGACCCATTGTTTGTAGAATTTGTTGACAGTTGAATTTTTTTTTTCCATCTTCTGCCGAACCAGTATTGACTGGTAAACTGAGGTACTGAACCATGATTTATTTGCTGTTAGAATTCTACAGGATTTTTAAGAGAAGTTTTAATGGTTCAAAACATGACGTTGCTTGTCCTAATCTGACTTGCACAATCAGGTAGACAGTATTACCCTTGCTTCTGAAATCGAAGCACAATCATGTTGCAGCCAGTGTGTGATGAAGTTGTAATTAAAATTATAAATACATATTTGGTTGCTTCTAGCATTTCCTTATTGCACCTGCATTATCCCAAGACTTGGCTGCTTGTCTTGAAGCCTCCTGTACTATGGAAATGTTATTTACAGTGATCTATGTCTTAAAATAACATATGTCAAGCTGCTTGAAGGCTTTGTACATTTATAACACACACCTTCTCCAGATCACGGTGAGGGTTCTGAACCTGCACCGGTGCCTTCTCACAGATCACTGCCTAATCTTGTTCATTCTCTGAATTTTTACATGGAGCTACTAGGGGAAAAGTTAATGGCGCAGCYTGGGGTGGGTTTCAGTTTGTTGAGCATGAAAATGGTTTCCATTACGTCCTTTGTGTTGAAAATATAATTGTTACTGAGAACAGGAAAGGAGTAGAATAGACAGGATGCTGAGATAATTTTATGATGGTGGTCTCATTAGTGCAATYCATGTTTTATCAGCAAGTTTCATCTAAAAAGCATCTTAATTGTTTGAAAGTGGAATCAGCAATATTCTTTGTGAATCTGATTAGATCTAGACAGTGGTGTGTATATTTTTTTTGCCTAAGAAATGGTTTCATCTGTTCAGAAGGTGGCGCGAGTCTCATTAAATAACTGGAATTATTGATCTTAGTTGCTGTATTATTTCTGAAGTATCKAGATCCATCTGTGTGTGGGTGTGTAATTATACATAAATCAAAGCTGCKGTATTTCCATTCCCTGTGGTGGTATGCTAAATTGTCTGTTGTATTCCCATATAACGTTTTGAATAAGTAGCATCATTCTTGTATTTGTTTAAGCTTTTGTTATTAACCTGACATATATACAGTGGTTTGCAAAAGTATTCATACCCCTTGAACTTTTCCATATTTTGTCACATTACAACCACAAACATAAATAT